CGCCAGAGGCGCTATTGCCGGCGCCAGCGCGCTGCTGTCCAGCTTCGAAGTCAGATGGCGGCTGCGTTGTTGCCGGATGCTGCCGTGTTTGGTCTGTCACTTGAGCGCAGGGCGTCAGAGCGAGGACCAGCTGCCCTCCTTCAAACATGTTTTCTTAGAGGAGTGACCAAAGTCAGGTCGTGGGTTACGTATTTGTAACGCGGAGCGTGATAAATTTTTAACGTTCTTGTCGTAATTTATAGCGCCCTTGTTGTTTCACAACTACCCCGCTTTGGACCGAAGCCGCGGAGCCGGCCTCGCTTTTGGACCGAAGCCGCGGAGCCGGCCTTGCTTTTGGGCCGAAGCCGCGGAGCCGGCCTTGCTTCTGGACCGAAGCCGCGGAGCCGGTCTCGCTTTGCAGTCGGAGCTTGGAAGATAGCTTGTGTCACGGGGTGACACGGACCGTGGGAGCGGGCTGCTTTTTCCACCCAAAAGCGCCCCGGTGACAAGCGGTGACAAACGGTGACAAGCTCGGCGGGCTGCTTTTTCCAGCCAAAAGCGCCCATGTCCAAAAGATCCATTGGCTCAGTGGTCAAGCCCGGTCTCTGCGATTTGCAGCATTCCGGGGCTCAAATCCCGGCGCCAAAACCCTGCATTTTCGAGCTGTCACTGAAAGGGTGGCGGACCAGTGACATAGCGGTGACAAGCTCGGCGGGCTGCTTTTTCCACCCAAAAACGCGCCCCGGCGACAAGCGGTGACAAGCGGTGACAAGCGGTGACAAACGGTGACAAGCTCGGCGGGCTGCGTTTTCCACCCGAAAAGAAGCTCCCTTGGCTCAGTGGTTAAGCGCTCTCTCTGCACCACCCTGGTCTGGGGCTCGAATCCCGGCTGTGTGCTCGAAACCCGACGACCGGGCAACCTTTGCCCATTAATGAACCAATATTGTTTCAAGCCGACTCAATATTGACTCAATATTGCCGAGATTTTGAACCCTTCTCAGGACGTTCGGCAGGTTGGCGTGTTAGACCCGGGTTGTCGGGGCAGGGGTGAGGACTTCGGCAGGCTGCCGTGCTTGGGCGAAAAACGGAAAATCGTG